TTGAGGCATATTCACATGGTGACAAGCTCCTCAGTCACTGCAGTTTGAGGACACTTATACTTGGAAATCAAAGACCCTGTGACAACATAAATGAAAGATGCGTATCACAAACTGGCATTTGATGCTTCATTATATTCTTCATATTTTATCTCACCTATATATGCATACATAGGCTGAAAGTGTATTTGACACAACATTATGATGTTTAGTTGATGGTGCCATGTGTGTTTTTTCTCTTTTTTCCGTGTGATTTCCATATTGCTGCAATAATTTTAATAAACATTACGTATTTTCTGCAATATTTTATTATGAAAAATTCAAACATACATTCAAGTGGAAAGACATGTGCTATGAAGTCACATATACTCATCACCTAGAGTCAAAAACTAACATTTTATTATGATATTAGCTTAATCATATATGTCCCCATCCCTCTCTCCGCAATCAAGCATAGTATTTTTTGATGCATTTTAAAGCATGTTGCAGACATTAGCGCAGTTCCCCCAGACACTTCAGCATGCAAATTAGAACATATTCCACCAATGTTAATGGCAGACACAACTGCAGTAGAAGTTAGAGTGAATGTTGTAAGGCAGATGGTGAGTTCAAGGTGACCCAGGTTTATTTCAGGTCCCAGAGAGATAGGCAGGAAATGAGGAGAACAGAGGAGAGAAGAAAGGCAGACTCTGAACTAGTCTGCTCAGGACTAAAGAAGGCTGTCGTGAAGATGGAGTCTTTTCTCAAGGTGCAGAGGAGAAAGAAAAGTGTGGAACAAAGAGAGAAAGAGATGAAGGGCCACATCTTGAAGATTCAGGGCAGCACACTAGCATGTGGGGCTGACAGAAACATGGCACGGCAGGTACTAAGCCCTTGGCCCAGTACAAGGTGCAGCAGGAGCCCAGTGATGTGGGAAGGGGAGAAGGACATGGTGGCCTGGGCTTCAGCTGAGGAGCAAGGGAAGAACAGCAGAGCCCACTCCTCCCTTCGTCTCACTGAGTCAGGGCCGGTGGAGAAGGTCTGAGGCTCCACACCCGCCCAGGGAGGCAGCAGACGGGGAGAGTGGGGCTGGAGAGACCCGGGAGGAGCAGGGGCCCAGCCTGACTGTGCCTGTGTCCGTGACCTGATCCCTCAAATTCGCCAGGTGTTGCAGAGCCACGGACAAGACTACCTGGTTGGCACACGCTGAGCAGGGCTGGCATTCAGCTGGTTGAACTTCTCTACTCTGTCGAAGAGCTTGACCCCAGCCTTCTGGCCAACTCCCCTCTGCTGAAGGTGATCTCTTTCACAGCCCTCAGGACGGAAGGCCCTCATCTCCCATCTTGGAATCTAATATTTGGTTCTTGGGTCTCCATTATTGTCCAGGCCTTTGCTGTCCTCAGGTCTCCAAAATTAGCTCCTGGGCCCTGGCCTGAGGCATGAAAAGAATCTTGTTATGCTGAGGAGATCTGAGTGGATGCTGCCCCAAGAAGAGGAATTTGTCTTTTACAAGGAGAGGGACTCAGGGTCAGCCTCTCTCTCCAGGCCCCTGGTCCATGATGGTTTCTGTCCTCTTTTCTCTGTGATTCCCTTGACCCAGGTGTGTCCTTCTCTTTCCACACCTGAGTCTGTGAGCAGGTCTCCTCCTCTCGGCTCCTGTTCCTACTTTCAGACATTGTGTTTCTCTCTGCACAGTCTCCCCTCTCTCTCTCTGTCTCTCACTCTTGGTGGGTAAATTGGTTTTCATTGGGCTATGGTTTCCCTTTCATATTTTCTTTCTTCAGTTCCAGCCCACTTTTCCTATATCTTTGCTTTTCCTGATTGTAGACTGTAACTGTGCTGATATCTGACAGACACATTCCTCTTCCTTGCGTTGCACAAGAGCCATGAATCCACAGGATGAGTGTGTAGGGAAGAAGAGAGGGAAGAAAGTGCTAGTGAGCTGGATTTTCTTCCTCTTATCCTCATGACTCACTGGGTGTCTGTTCCCCAGCCTCACACTGGTGCTGATGGAGGAGACTCAGTGAGTCCTCATCTAGGAGGGTCTCAGATTCCCCGGCTTGTGCTAATGATAGGGCTGGTCTTTGGCTCCACTCTGAGGCTGCTCCTGTGCATTGCAGGCCCTGAAAACCAGAATCAGCAACGTCCCTACCGTGAAGAAGTTTCTGCAGCCTGGCAGCCAGAGGAAGCCTCCAATGGATGAGACACGTTTTGAAAAAGTAATCAAGATTTTCCAGTAATAATAAAGCAAGCATGGCTGCCTAGCCTATGCAGGACCTATCTTCTGAAGTTTTCCAAAAATGAAGTGCTTAACCTAAATGTAGATCCTGGCTATTGTGAGACTAATAAACTATTCCAAGGTTTTAGTGATAATTAAATAATATAACTCTATGAGCAGATTTTGTTACAATTTATTCTTTTTCATTAGAGTCAAATATGAAATCAGATTTTCAATCTCCTTCTATCCTGTCTCTTGCTTGGAATTAAAAATGAAATAAAAACGGGAAATACAGATTATGTGTCTTCTTGATCTTTTGGAGACGTTATCATGTAACATCTGTCACATAGCCATCGAAGAGTCAAGTGTAGAAATTCATGTCTGACACTCTCAGGTGGTCACAGGAAAATAGCTACCTTTTTCCATAATGGCTAAAGAAATTTTCTTTTCTTTGAGAGGCATTTTCCTTCTGGTAATAAAAATGTTGTTTCTGATGCATGTTTGAACAGCTATTATGTCCCCTATGGACTCTTTAATGTTCTAGGAGGTGGGGACAGAATGAAAAACAAAACAGAGCCGAGCTCTGGTCTCAGGGGACCCTCTGTCCCTTCCAGTCCCCGAGCACCCTGGCACATCATCACTCTGCTGCTTAGTGCTCTGTGAGGCCTGGGCATGAGCCCTCCTCTCAGGTCACTCAGTGTCCCTCAGACCTGGGCTTCTAAGACACAGACTATATGCATGAATTATGTATAAATGAATATATACAAAATCCTTGTTCTGGGCCAGAGTGCCTGGGTGAGGAGTGATTTCTAGTTTTAGCCCCACCCGGGGCCAATGATGAATACTCTCCCAGAAAAGGTGGGCTTTGGCACCTGGAGTTCTCCTCCCCTTAGTGTGGGGGTCCCCACAGTGGGGGGTGGGGCAGGGAGCAGACCGACACAGGGCTCCCTGACTGAGGCCTCACTTCACTCTGGTCTGTTCTCTACTCACAGCCAGAGTGGATTTCCTCAAGTGCAAATCTGAGTCTCTCCACCTTCTTGATCTCCTTCAGTGACTCCTATACCTGCAGGGAGTCCTCCTCACACCCCTCCTCACACCCTCCTCCAGCCCATCACACTCCTGGGCAAGGCGGGGACCTGGCCTTCTTCCTTGGGCACAGTTGCTAGCCCTGCCTGGCAGCTCCTTCCCCCTGGCCACACTCCACTCCTCCTCCCCTCGGTGCTTCCCAGGGAGAGCTGGGCTCTGCTCTGGGCTCCCACAGAGCCCCGTGAGCATCTCAGAAACCTGAAGCCACTGTGCCTCCCCCACTGTCCTGTGAGCGCCTGGTGTGGGGACATGGCCCTGCAGTGTCCCCAGGGCTCCCTCACCAATGGTAATAACACCGCGCACAACTCCACGCACACCTTGGTGACCTAAGGGTTCGAGTCTGGGCTTCGGGAATTCTTCACATTCTCCGCACAATCCCACCTGTCTGACCTCTGTATTCACTGACCCATGTCTTCAAAATATATTTACTCCCATCGCTCGAATGTAATGTGTGGACCTTGCTTGGACCCTGATGCAAGTAAACCAACTCTAAGGAAATTTTCACAAGACATTGTGGGAAATTAGAATGCTGAATATTTAATAAAATGAAGGAATTAACTTTTGTGTGATAGGAGACTAGTCTAATTATGTTTAGTGAAAGAGTCCTTATCTTTTAGAGATTAACATAGTAAATTTTTGATAGATGAAGTGATATGCTGTCTAGGATTTGCTTCGAAATAATCCCGTGGTAGTGGGGGCCATAGATGAGAGTATATATTAGTTTCTCGTGGTTGCTGTATCAAATTACTACAAACTGGCTGGCTTAAAACAACAGAATGTATTCCTTCACACTTTTCGAGGCTGAAAGTCAAGGTGTCAGCTGACCGCCTTCCTCAGGGGGCCTAGGGGAGAATCCTTCCCTGCCTCTTCCAGCTTCTGGTGGCTTTTTGCATTCTCTGCTTCCTTGGCTCATCGCCACGACACTTCAACCTCTGACTCCATCCTCACATCCCCTCACCCTCTGTGTGTGTGTGTCTTCTCTTCTGTTATAAGGATACGTTTCATTGGATTTCGGGCCCACCAGAATAATGCAGAATGATCTCATCTCAACTTCCTAAACTCAGGTACATCTGCAAAGATCCTTTTTCCAAGTAAGGTCACATGACAGGTTCCAGGTATTTGGACATGGACCTATATTTTTAGGAGGCCACCTTACCAGCCCCTACAGGGTAGAGATGAAAAAAATTGTTGGCGATATCTGAAGCAGGGAATGGGTGCATAGGATGGATACCATACAATTTTTATGATATACTTAAAAAATTATTTATTATTTCTCTGAAATTCACATTTAATTGGATGCCCTGTATTTTATCTGTGACACAATATAAAAAGTATTCCAGAGATCTGCTTGCCCCTCACTGACATCAGCTCCCTGCTATGCTCATGGCAGAGGTTTCTCATCTGCCTTCGTCCTTGCATCCAACTCATGACAAACTCACAGTAAGTTTCTTCAGAAAGCCATTCCGCACTGACTGCCAGAGAGTCCAAACATCCTGAAATTTTTTGTTTAATCTTTTAATTGCCAACCTTGAAAAGGAACATATTAACTAGTTGCTTGTGATAAGAGGATGACCTGTCTTTTTTCTTCCCATCTAGTATGGAACCCCTGGCCCTGAACTCTGTGAGAGTGGCTTTTCCTTGACTAGACTCCACCCGTGTCACAGGGAGGAGTTATTCCCTAATAAAAGCAGCTTATAAACACTTGAGGGCCTGGCGTTGAGTTGCTGAACCAAGTCGGGGAAAGACTTTAATAAGGTAAGTACTGATTTTATAAATCTTCATACATTGCCTCACATCCTCAAAACTAAGTCACCAGAAAAATACTTTAAAATGTGTCCTCAGCACAAGAAAAGTCTGTTTTAGACTCACATCGTGACTTCTTGCTGTGCTTAGGGATCAGTTCAAGAGTTGTTTATTCAATTGCTGTTGGAATCACCTTTACAGAAATGTGAAAATGACGAAATTAGAAAACTAGGGCACAAGAATTTAGATACGATAAAAATTAATGATAGGAAGAGAAATAAGAATGATAGGATTTTAGACAATCCGAGAATCTGCCCAGTGCAAGAGAGAGTGTGGGTGTTTGTGCCGAGGTTACTCTCTCTGTAGAAGTGGTTGACACACAGCTGTTGTGAGCTATGATAGTGTAATACTAGGTCCACTGTGAAAATTCAATATTAAGACTGACTGTAACAGGAATAAATTAGTCTGAAGGTCAGCAGAACTCGATTCTAGTTCAGCCTTTGCTGGATTAGCTCACGGGCACGTCTCCTTCTCTCTCTGGGGTTCAACCAACTCAGGGCAACCAGACAACGGCTGGAGGTTTCTCAGTCTGGTCCTATGGACACTGTGGCTGGGCAATGCCTTGTTATGGGGCCGTCCTGTCCGTTGTCCTCCTTTTTCAGTTAAAAAATATTTATTATAACAAACACATGGATGAAGAGAAGAGATTAGTGGTTACCAGAGGGAAAGGGGGCTAGGAGGCAGGCATAGGGGGTAAAGGGGCTCATATATATTGTGACTGACAAATAATAATGTATACCTGAAATTTCACAATGTTTTTAAACTATTATGACCTCTATAAAATAATTTAAAAAATATTTATTATAGAAATGTACATTTAATTAGTTTTAAGGAATATACTTGCAAGTAGTGTTAACATATATATTTCCTCAAATTTGTAAACTTTACTTCTGTAAGACATCTACAACAATAGTTTGTTTACACATTTAACAAGAAGTCATCATTTCCTCAATTCTCTACTCTCACTTTTCCTTTTCATTTCACTCTGTACTTGTAGAAAGAACAGAGTGTGGGGGTCAAGTTCATCCTAGTGCAATTGGCAGCCACAGAGTGGAATGAGAGGTGCAAATGGAGAGAGAAGAATTATTCTATTTTTTAAAAATGAATTTTTTAAAAAGCATTATCCTGGGCAGATGACACAGATAAAGTAGCCAACTGCAAACAAATATAACGTATTTCCAACTAAATATCCAATCAATGTGTCTGATAGGATAACATGGTGGATAAAAAATGAAGTTGGATAAAATGCATGATGAGTTAGAGTGGTAAGAAGCATTGGATGAAAACTGAGGCATTGCCCCACTCCACATCAGAGGCATCTCTGCTCTCTACCCAATGGAAGTAGCACCTTCTCTCCTGGTGTTGACAACACAAAACATCTCCAGAGATAGCCAAGTGTCCTCCGGGGCAGGAGGGACAAAATCACCCCCTGTTAGGAATCTCTGGATGACATGACTTCTCAAAATCCCCAACTCAGGAAGTCTCGATGGGAAAACTAGAGAATCACAGGAGCACAGAATGAGATTTTACAAAGCACAGGAATTCACCCAGCTAGAATGGACAAGTCATTCAAATCAGAATGTAAGAGTCAACCATGCTCTGTTATAGTATTAATATTGGGGGATAAAAGGAAAAGTCTCATACAGGAGAGACGGAGAGCCTCAGGGAGATCATGTGAAAATCCTGGAGCTGTTAGAACGTAATAGAATTCATGGGAAAAACTCTGGTACCTATGGGAGAAGATATTGAAATGGCAACGAGGAAAAGCACTAGGCAGGATGCTACCGAGAGCAAGGTTTGACAGGGCTGAGGCGGGGTCCTCATTTGAAGGGGAGAAAGGCAGCCACGTGGGGTAGAGAGGCACGGAGCTTGGGGACTGGGTGCTGCCTGGGAGGCAGGAGCGCCCTGGGCTGCGGAGCAGCGCCCTCAGCTTCCTCAGCCTGGCAGTTCCTCACCTCGCTCTGACTTGCTTGACTGAGAGAATCGTGATTCTTGAATTGGAACCACTCAAAGTGAAGTCCCTGCTGGGCCTTGTGCTCTGTCTGTTGTCCACAAACCTGTTTTTCTGACTAGACTTAAAGCCCTTTAGGTCAGGGACCAGATCAGGCTCGGATCCTGTTGCCAAACAGCCATGAATTCTCAGCACTGGAAACTGCTCCAGGAGTGTGAGGAGGAAGGTTGAAGGAAATTTTTTAAAAGAAAGAAATACACCTACGCATAAACAGAGACAAGGAGTCATAGAAGGACCAGAGAAATGTGCGTGTTCTAGGTAAGCAAGATGCCACTGGAGAGACGTATCATTTTCATCAAGTGGCGACAGTGAGACCTGCATGAGGGCTGTGAAGAGCTGGAGAGAGAAGCCGTGGCTCTCCCATTCCAGTGGCTGGACCCATGCAAAGGGGGACCGGGCACAGGAAGGAGGCCAGAGTGCCTGGATCAGGGAGGGAAGGGCCACAGGGGCAGGCCTGAGGAGAAACGCACATGGGGTACAGGGTCCAGGGGCAGAACCAGGGATCTGCTGCAGAGTTGGAGTTATGCAAGGCTTTGTTTAATGATGTGCCAGAACTCTGAACCTTCGCCAAAAACTTCCTGCAATCCAGGTTAATTAATAAGTGAACATCACTAATCTTTCCACACGAGTTATTTAGAAAGAGCTTTTATATGACATTTGGAAAAAGTCTGGAGATATATACATGTATATATACTTATATACACTGTATCTAATCTTATTCCTACTGGAGCTCTCTCTGTCAAGAGATAGAAGATAGATAGACAGACAGACAGAATGACACCCAGACATATAGAAGAAAGATGATACAGGTGCAGCCGGTATGTTCAGACTCACTAATCTCCAGGATCTGGGAGCAGGAGGGAGCTTGCATTTGCTGATTCCTATAATGAATTTTATGCACCTTATTTCATTGAACTTTCTCAACAGCTCTCAAAAGTAGAGATAACTCTATTTTCAGAAGAGAAAGTTACTGTGCAGAGATGCAACCACCCGCCTGAGGCTCTGATCCTGGTGAGGAAGGGAGCTGGGATTGGGCTCCATGTCTCCGCTTCTCTGCTGAGATCCTCTGTGATTAGGACCCCCAGACCTCAATCCTTTAGTTTACTCCTGGATTTTTCATAGGATAGACGCCTTTCGAGGAGTATGAGCCTACTTCCCTGTTAAGGTAAAATATAGAGAGTAGTCCTCAATTTACTCAGTAAATATTTAGGATTTGAAAGTAAAGCAAGGCATGCTGTTATCAATGTTTCTTCTCATCAAGCTCTAAAAATCAGCTAACAGAAAGGAATTCACGAATTCCTTGTTTCCCTCTCTCCCTCTCCTTCAACAGATAGCGGGCTAATGGATTCCGAATGGGAAAAATAAACAAGAGTCTCGGGGAGAAGCATAGAGAGAGCCTGAGTGTTCCATGGTGGGGTGAAACCTGAAATGACATGGCCCTGAAATCAGAGGACACAGCGTGTGAGCCTAGGAAAGCTGCTGCATGTCTTTGACCTTCAGTTTCCTCCTCTTTAGAATAGAATATGAGAAGCTACTTCCCGGGGTTGTGGTCGAGGGTAGACACACTTGCTGGATATCGAGTGTGAATCAGGAACACACGTGTGTGACTTTGGCAATTCATCGAATCTCTCTAGTTCTCATTTTCTGCTGACCAGGCAAAGTTTTAGGATAACCTTTGCCCCAGTCTGGACCAGGCCTTTGGAAACCTCCTAGTGGGGAGGTGAGGAAAGTTGTCTATGAGGAAGAGAGTTATGATAACATATTATCTAAGATAAGAGTTCCTTTCCCTTTGTAACAGGATCCTCAGTGAAAGGGAAAGGAGCTGAGTGTGAGGTGTGAGTCACTTGGCTCTGTGAACTCTAGTCCACAGCACACACTTCCCGCCTCAGTGCCGGCTTTAGTCTCCTCTCCATTCTGCTCAATCCCAGCACCTCCATCTCCTGTGATGAGAAAGCACAATCTCCAATATCTCCAATTACAAGACAGATGGTTGGTTAGCTATGTTTCCAAAGGATTTTTTACTTTCTAGAGGTTAGACTATTGAGTCTCCCATTAAAAATGTGCATATTGAAAACATTTTGATATCTAAAATTCAAGTCACACACACTTTTTCAGAGATATGCCCATCGGGTAAAGAGAAGTAAATTTTTGTCCCAAACTCCACAACAATAACATTTTGCAGAAAGAATCTTAATGTTTTCTAAACAGAGCCTGGGAAGTGGATAGAAAATGCAACTCTTCCTCCCTAAGTCCTGGCTTTGGGACTCCAGCTTGCAACCAGTCCCGTGTGCTTCCATTCACACCCATGAGCGAACTAGCCATGTCCACTGTGGGAGCCGTTGAGTTTCATTCTCTGGTTCTCTCTATGTTGACCACCCACGCAGCCTGGGGTAGAACAAGGGCTTTCAAATTTTGCTGACTGGACACAACCAATGTTTCTCTCACCACCAGTTGACCAAATGAGTGTGCACACATCCACCCGTGCCCGCACACATGACTGAAGCTGAAACTCTTGAGATGATCCTAACCTCGTCTCCACAGAGGGCACTCGGAGAGTTTCTATTGTCTTCTATTTCATTTGAAAAATTGGTGGATTTCACAATCCACTGAAGGATTGTCATGCATACTTTGAAAAACACTAAGATGGAAAATGAAGCCTAGACTTTGATTTCACATAGAAGTGGGTTGAACCCCAGGTTCACCACCTCCATTGTGGATGTTACTCTAGAAATCTCAGTATCCCCAGTTGTAAGGGGAAATTGATAACAGACCCACCTCAGGTGATTTTTGTAGGATTAAATGGAGATAAATTTGTGAGGTCGCCCATCTTATGACAGACATTGAACATATGCTAGTTCCACTCCATATACTGTAAAGTTGATGCAGTAACATCCCTTTTACTAGATTATAAAATGCACCAAGTGGAGGTAGAATGTAGAATTCCAAAACATGGAAGAATTCCAAAATCAGCATCCTGTGTCTGTGGGAAGAATTAGGATCTGTTGAGCTATAGTTAAGCGAGTCTGAGCCCTAATTTCAGCTTTTGAATAAATGCGGCGTTAACTCTGCTCCCTCTTCCCCCTCGCTGTCAGCGAAGTCCTCTGGTTTCAAGGCCCCTCATAGGCAGGGCCTGCATCTGTGTGGGGTCCAGCCCCGCCCTCCCTCTAGCCTGGGGGTGGATTTTCATGTCCACCGTTCCCTGGAGTGGGACTGTGGACATGTCATTTAACTAACCTCCTAGCCTTGGTCTTAACTGAAAAATGGAGACAATCTGAACTATTTCATGGGGCCGATATGAAGATTAAATATATAGTGTATCCAAAGGGGTTAGCATTCAGTCAGGATCCTCAGGGGGAGGTTTTCAATAAATATTAGTTCTCTAATCCTTTCCCTCCCCCTGATACCCATACATCCATCCTTTCCACAGACTGTCACCTATTAGGCTGCCAAGACCACCAGACTTTACCCAGTGGAGACTGGAGAGTGGTTTGGTGCCATTTCCTGGGCTTGGCTCCTGAGGGTGAGAATTTGGGCTGAGGAAGACATTCCAGAGAGTCTTCCGACTCTGCCATGAAAGAGGCAGACCTTCTTCAGCATCGTTGGTGCTGTTCAACCACGAATCATAAAGTGCATTTTTGCTTCTGTGGTTTCATTCATTCATTCAATGAGTCATTCATTCATTCAGGTTTAGAGAAACCAGGAGACTGCATCATGGCAGGGAAGCCCAAACTTCACTACTTCGATGGACGAGGCAGATTGGATTCCATCCTGTGGCTCTTGGCTGCAGCTGGAGTAGAGGTGGGTTCTGTGTTCGGTCATCCTTAGTTGGATCAAAATTTGACTATCAAAGTCATTTCTCACAGAAGCTAGGAGACTGTTCTTACTAAATGACCTGTCAAGTGTTTTGCATTAAAAAAAAAATTGAGTAATTCAGAAAAGATTTGACCTAACATATTCTTAAAATTTCTTGTCATCAGAGCATAAAAAATTAAAATAAAGTTAAGAAACTATCGCAATGTGTGGGCCTTATTTGGATTTGGATTTAAACGTAAAATATCATTTATGACCTTTTTGTAAAAATTAAACATGAACATGATTGTATATTAGGTAATAATAACTATTGTTAATGTTTTAGGTTTAATAATGCGCTGAGGTTATTTTTAAAATAGTTCTTATGTTTTAGAGATACTTTGAAGCATTTAAAGATGAAATACATGACATCTAGAATTTGTCTCAAATTTTTATGAGGGGGGAGAGTGGTGGGCGTATAAATGACAGGCAACTGGCTTGAGTTGATAATTATCAAAGGTGAAGGGTACAAGGAGGATATTTGTACTTTTATATTTATTTTAGTACATGCTAGAAATTTCATTAATAAAAGGACAAAAAACATACATTATTAGAATATCATATAATTAAAGTTAAGACATAACCACAAATGTGGGGAAGAATGGATTGTAGCAAACTGGCTGTGAAAGATGTAATATGTTTACTCAGCAGTGATTTTGTTGAGAACCTTTAAGGGCCAGGTTCTGTGTCAGGTCCTGGGGACACAAGGATGAACAAGACAGACATGGGCCCTGTCCTCAGGCAGCCTACATTCTAGGAAGGTTGCACACAGCAAGGAGGTGATTAGAAGGAGGGAGGGAGCATCTAGGAGGACACTCAAGCATTTACAGTGTCAAAATGCCATATTCCCAGTGGAAAAACGGTAGGTTTCCCCGGGACTCTGTTGAGTGCTGCCCTCTAGAGGTGTCACTGAGAAAAACACTTCTCAGTCCAGATCAGAGGGATCAGCAACTCTGGGATGGTTTTCCTGGGGAGGAGGTCATGGACAGACTCAGGACATCTTGTGCCTCAAGTGGGAGCAGAAAAGGAGTGTTCCAGGTGAGGCAGTGTCCTGTGACAGGCACTTCTAGTGAGTTCCATTCAGCCCCATAACACCATGTTTACTGAAGCCTTGGGATTACACTTTCTCTCTTGCTCCATGGGTGCACGGGGCTTTAGCCTGGTCCTCTCTCAATTTCATGAAGAAACGAGTACAGAAAACATCCAAATAGTGCCATTCCAGGTTGTTTTCTTTCTATGAATCAATAGCCTGTTTTCACTGCGTCCAGCGTCAGGTTTGGGTTCAGGGATGTGTTCAGAGCCCCTGGGCAGGATGAGTTCAGCACAGGAGGGGGAAGCAGGGGGAGATGCTGAGAGCATCCAGGCTTCCTCTTCTCCATCCCAGCTTGACTGAAGAGGGCTGGGGGGCAAGGACTTACCAGAGGCTCTTGGTCAGGGCTTCTGGGTTCTCTGTGCCCAAAGGCTGACCCTCACCATCCCATCCGTCTCCACTAGCCTCACAAACACCATCTCACTAGCCAACCCCACCCCACCTCGGCCACCCTGCTGTGAAGACCACCACATTCCCTTATGTTTGTCTTGAAGTGGTGCTTTATGAATACTGCACCCACACCTCACTGTCTGTCTAGCCTGACCCTGTGGAGTTGTGTAGACCCACAATAAACAGTTCCACTGGACAAGTTAGAAACTCCCAAATTCCTACACTTTCACCATCAAGACCCCCTTTAAACTATCATAGCCACTGCAAACACCACTACTAGTTATTACATGGTTTATGTGGGCTGGGTCCTATAATATGCATTTTAAAACTCAACATATTCTGCTTAAGAAAATGTTCTACGTCCATTTTATAGATGAGGAAACTAAGTCCTGGAGATGTGAAGTGACTGTGCCCAGATCACATAGCTACTGTGAGGCAGAGCCAAGAGTAGAACCAAATCCAATCAACACTGAAATCCACTTTCCTAATATCTGTCTCTTTTGACTTTTGGTTTGGTAGATTCTGTCAATTAAGTAAATTGCATGATTATATAATTACTGATTTTCATGTTTGTATTAAAATCCCGCAACCACTCAGAGCTTCTGATCAGATTGAGACAGGCTTGCTGTTGGCTGCCATTCCAACCACAGGAGAAGGGATAATATACACCAAGGTGCATATCCTGAGTGTAGGTCAAGGACTGAGGATGTGTTCACCAATGTTAGGTTTGCCCTAAATTAAAAAAAAAAAAGAGTATGGCATGATAAAACAGCAACTATTTTTAAAAATCCTGACACTTATGTTCATTGAGCACTTAGAGTATACACGGTACTATTTAAGGGCCTTTGAATACCTTACTGATTTAATCCTCACACCAATCTATAATGCAGGTACCATAACTATACTCATTTTATAGAAGAGGACATTGAGACACAGAGAGATTCAGTGATGTGTTTAAGGTCAAGAGGTCACTACATGTAAAAAATGATGTTCAAACCAGGCAGTCATATCAGAAAGCAATGTTTTTGGGTTAGAAAGAAAGACACTCTTTGGGAACTCTTTTTCCTTCCTTAAGTTGGGAATTCTAACCTAATGTGTCCACTATTTTTCAGGAGAGGAAATTCTGAGTTGAAAGAGTTAAAGCTGTGCAACAACCAGGACTCATTTTACCCTGAGTGGGGCCTTGTGGGATGGGGTGGTGTCAATGACAGCAGAGGCCCCTGGTGGCAGCATCTTAGAGGGTCACTTCCCCCTGGCATACCGCATGCCGGGGGACACACAATGTCCTGTCCTGATCTCACGTGGAGAGACAGGCTTTCCCGAGATATTCAAACTCCACAACAGGATGAACTTTCCGGTCCCTTCCCTCCATGACATCCCTTCCCCAGTCACCACCTAACCATCCACAGAGCTGGAAAGAGGGTGGAGGTGAATTCAAACTGCAAGAGTGAGCTGTCACTGCTGTAACCTATGCTCTTTCTTTGTTTTTTTTTTTGTTTTTTTTTTGTGAGGAAGACTGGCCCTGAGCTAACATCCGGGCCCATCTTCCTCCACTTTATATGGGAGGTCGCCACAACATGGCTTGATGAGCGGTGCCTCAGTGCATGCCCAGGATCTGAACCCGGGCCGCCGCAATGGAGCACGTGCACTTAACCGCTACGCCACTGGGCCGGCCTCCATGCTCTTTCTTGATGGCTCTCATCTAAATTCCCATTGACCCTGATCACACTCCTCTGCGTACCCTGCCAAGCTCAGGAATCGCCCTTCTCCTCATCATGTGCCAGACAGGGGCCATTCAAGTGTAAAAGTTCTATAATGCTGTGGAATGAAAGAACAAGAACTCATTGACTGTTTCTGCTTTCCAGTTTGAAGAGAAGTTTATAGAAACTTCGAAAGACTTGGAAAAGCTGAGAAATGGTAAGACCAAGTATCTAGTTGCCTCTGATGAGAGTATCTAGTAGAAGTCATGTGTTGGGGTTTAACCCCGGGCAATGCCTATGTGTGTGTACCCTGGGAGCTGGGGTCCAGGGAGAGGGAGGGAAGTGGTGCAAATGTCAGGGCTGGGGCTCTTTGAGCAGCTTTGGTAACTCGCTCAGGGCAGGAAGGGCTGGAACTCTCTGAGTAGTTGCTCCAGGACCATCCCCCAGGCCCTGTGGATCCCTGTCTTTGCCTCTCCTGCTTTTCTGCCCAGTGACTGAGCTCTAGCAGCTCAGGATCCCACAGCCCTCCCAGGAAGGACACTCAAATACATGTAATAGAGCAAAGAGGAGAAACAGGCCCGGCACTTACCTGGAGTTATTCTCTCTGACAGGTTGGCAAGGTGATGTCCTAGCGTATTGTAGACTCAGATAACAAAATTGTGTTGATTTAGTTGGAAGGCCAGGGGAGCCTGTGAGGAGGGAGTGAAAGCCCGAGGGCCAGCAGCAGTGGGGTGGGGAACACAGGGCCCCCTACACACACTCTCCAATGGGGGGATTTGAGGAGCATAGAAAACATCCTCCGGAGAAATCTCCCCTACTAATGGTAGGGGACCAGCAACCCTCTAGATTTATTTTGGGAACTTCCCAACTGAAATGACAACCGGCTGGTAGCCGTGTTGCAGCCTCTCTCAACTTCTTCCTTAAATGTCCTTGAAGAGAAATCGAACACAACAAATACAGGGACCTCCCATGTACCTGAATGAGAATAAAACGATAAATGAAATAATAGGATAAAAAGTAACACACAGATTGATAACAAAAATGATTACAGGAAGCCAAAAGCAAATGCTATTTCCTTTGAAATGTTCCACATAATAATGTTTTGTTTCCTTTTATATCTTCAGTCATTCTAACAAACAGTTTTTTATCTTGAAAGTTTGATCCATAAAACACTTCACTCTCCTTTTTTTTTTTCTTCTTTCCAAAGATGGGAGTCTGATGTTCCAGCAAGTGCCAATGGTCGAAATTGATGGGATGAAGCTGGTGCAATGCAGAGCCATTCTCAGCTACATTGCCGCCAAATACAACCTCTACGGGAAAGACATAAAGGAGAGAGCCCTGTATGGTATTTTTCCTGCTCTTTCATCAACAGTTAATAGGAACAATGTAGGTCCTTCCCTGAGGGAGCAGGACTGTATCAGGGGGAACAAGACCACCAGCAGGGTGGCCTTGGTGGTATAGACTGAGGTCCAGAGACCTTGGAGGATGAAGGACAGGAAACCTGCAGTGGACTCAAGCAAGTGGGATTATAGAAGAGGATGTGGCCCACGGATAGGGCACAGTGACAGAGGTCTCCAAACTCTGATGAACTAAGAAGCCGGGAGGCTGGTGGAGTCATGACTCCAGGTACTCAGGCCTTTAGGAGCTGGACACCAGCCCTCAGCTAGAGACAAGGGACAAAGTGTCTGAGGATCTAGAGGATAAGGCTGGCGAAGGGTGGGACCCAAATGAGCTGCTTCTCATATTGCAGAATTTACCAGAATGATGACCAGGAACCTAATTTATGACTGAGTTATATTGACTGGGCATTTGACAAGGGTTAGCACAGGTTGAGCCCAAATTGCCAGGGTTACAGTAAGCTTTTTGACACAGGAATGAAGCATCAGATTTATTCAATACAACCATATCTGGGGGGGTCTCCTCCTGGTTGTGATGGACCACATGATTAAAATTAAAACCATGTAAGGGCTTATTCAAAAAGTGAAAAATAGTTACCATATGACTATATGACTCAGCAATTCCACCACTAGGTATATACCTGAAAGAATCGAAAATATATCCACATTAAATCTTGTACACAAATGCTCATAACAGTGTTGTTCATAATCTTCAAAAAGTAGAAACAATACAAATGGCCATCAAGTGATGAATGGATGAACAGATGGGGGTATATCCATAGAGTGGAATATTATTTTCCCATGAAAAGAAATGAAGTCCTGTTGCTGGCTACAACATGGATGAACCTTGACAACATTATGTTACATAAAAGAGACCAGAACAAACAGCCCTTATTGCATGATTTCATTCTATGCAATATCCAGAATATTCATATATGTAGAAACAGAATGTAGTTTAATGGTTGCCTGGCGCTGTTGGGAGGGAAGAATGTATAATGCCTGTGAAAGCATAGAGCATTTGATTTGGAAGGGTTCAAAATATTCTGGAATTAGAGTGTGTTGATGGCACAAATCTGTGACTTTACCAAAAATCACAAAATCGTACACTTGAAAAAGGTGACATTATGGTAACGGAATTATATGTCAATAAAGCTTTTATTTTAAAAAGCTCTTATAGGAAGCCCTGCTTGGAACACACACACACACAAACTAGGAATAGGCACTGGTGGGAAGTGTATAAAGAATTGAAGCATTTCAGGGGATATTTAGGTGGGGTCTTGAGAGATGCAAACATGGCCAGTGTTGGGAAACAGTGCATGGAGAGGGCTGTGGAACAGTGTTCTATGGGGAATCATTGAAAGAACTTCTAACACTGAGCGTTAAGTGGGCCTGGGTGGTATAACAGGATGAGAGGGAGAGGGCCATGACTGAGATGGCTGTACCAGGGACTCTCTTTGGAGGTGACTTAGGTGACTGGTCTTTGGCCGTGTGAATCACACTGAGTTTGTGCACAGAACAAACCCCAGCAGAGATGGCAAACCCCAGCTAGAGTCTCAGTGGTTACTTGCAGTGATTCCACCAGTGTCTCTCATGCCTGTGACTCGGGGCAGGTCACTGATGCTCTTAGTCTTTATATTTGGTCATGTGTGTAACAAAAATTTTAGACATATATCTACCTTGGTAGCTTGTTCTAGAATGAAATGTGAAAAATAAGTAAAAATCATAGCTGAATGATTGGCTTATAAAAATGCACCCAGTGGAAGTGAATTCCTTTGCCACCTCCTGATGCCCCATTCTTTTACATTTTTAAACTATAAAATCTAAGACAGGAGACATTTGACAATTTAGTCATTTCTTTCTTTCAGGATTGATATGTACGTAGAAGGTGTGGCAGATATGAATGAAATGTTCATATTTTTGCTCATAACCCCACCTGATGAAAAAGGTGCCAAGATCGCCCAGATAAAAGAGAAGGCAGCAAATCGTTATTTCCCTGCATTTGAAAAAGTAAGTGGGCTGTTTAGTGTCCTGGCACTGAGGTTAGAGGAGAAAGAGAAAGAGTGCCTGGGCATTCCTGGGGCATTGACCTTCACTTCCAGTGAGCCTTCCTGAATACTAGTTAATGGAGTACCTGACTCTCAAGGCATCTTATAAATATCCACCGTGAGGAAGAATTGTGCCAGTTTTACCCAAGTTATAATTTTTCAGCAAAACTTTGGTTTGCTAGGACCCAATCTAGAATTTTCTATTCAATGGAATTGAAGGCTCTGAGAGCCACACTAGAGATTGGAGCAGATCCTACAGAACACCATACAGAGGTTTCTGGTCCAGGAGGAACATGATGAAAGCCATACATCTGAAAATATTCTGGTACCATATGTAGGGAGACATGAGACCAGCTGCACATCAGGAGAATGTGGTAGTGTTTCAGGGAATGAATGAGATGTATCTAAACACAGACAGGAGCAGTGTGATGGAGAGGAAGAGATAGATGAAGAGATGTTAAGGGAAAATAATCTAGAAATTTGTGGGACATGGCTCTTAGATTTTTGAGGAAAGTTATGTAAACTAAGGAAATAAAGTTCCATCACTATACATAGTACATATCTTAGTTAATGTTTCTCTTTGAAGGTCATGGAGAACATTTCAAGATCAAAACTACCTGAAATACTGCTAAATAAAAATCGTAAACCAAAAAATGATTGTAAGAGATACAGGAGGTTTAACACTCTCATCTTCATAAAACATTAAATCATTCTTTCATTCACTCAACAAACGTGCATTCACTGCTAGTGTGTTAGGTCCTATTCAAAGAGTGAAGAATTTGATACTAATAGGAAAATATTCTCTCCTGGCCCTTGTGCTGAGGGTTTAGGCACATTCACTGGTGACAAGCTCTTCAGTCACTGCAGTTTGAGGACATCCATCCTGAGGAATAAAGAGCCCTGTGACAACATAAATGAAAGATGCATATCACAAACTGGCATTTGATGCTTCATTATAGTCTTTATTTTTTATCCAACTGCTATATGCATACATTGCTGAAAGGGTATTTGACACAACGTTGTAATCTTCAGTTGGTGGTACTATGTATGTTTTTTCCCTTTTTTCTCTGTGATTTCCACATTGCTATAATATTTTTAATAAACACCACATATTTTGTACAATATATTATATGAAAAACTGAAACACACACAAAAGTTGAAAGATATGTATAATGAACTCCTAATTACCCATCACCTAGAGTTAATTTTTATTATCATGTTTGCTTAACCATGTATGTCCCCATCCCAGTTTCCTCCAATCAAGCATATCATTTTATGGTGCATTTTAAAGGAAACGCAGACATCAACACAGTCACCCTTAGACGCTCAGCATGCAAATTAGAACATATTCCACCAATGTCATTGACAGACACAGGTGGGTTAGGAGTCAGAGCCAATGTTGAGAGGGCTCCAAAGGGAGATGGTAAGTTCAGGTTCCTTTCGGGTCCCAGAGAGATAGATGAGGAAATGAGGAAAGCTGACTAGAGGAGAAAGGTAGACTCTAAAATAGTTTGCTCAGGAGTGAAGAAGGCTGTCATGAAGATGGAGCCTTTTCCCAAGGCAGAGAGGAGAAAGAAAAGTGTGGAGACGGAGAGAGAGGGTGAGAAAGATAAAGAGCCATGGCCTGAAGTTTCAGGGCTGCTCGCTTTAGAGTGTGGGGCTGACAGAAACATGGCACAGCAGATGCTAAGCCCTTGGCCCAGAGGAAGGTGCAGCAGGAGCCCCAGTGATGTGGGAAGGGGAGAAGGACATGGTGGCCTGGGCTTCAGCTGAGGAGCGAGGGAAGAACAGCAGAGCCCACTCCTCCCTCCGTCTCACTGAGTCAGGGCCGGTGGAGAAGGTCTGAAGCTCCACATCCGCCCAGGGAGGCAGCAGAGGGGGAGAGTGGGGCTGGAGAGACCCGGGAGGAGCAGGGGCCCAGCCTGACTGTGCCTATGTTCATGACCTGATCCCTCAAATTCGTCAGGTGTTGAAGAGCCACGGACAAGACTACCTGGTTGGCAACACGCTGAGCAGGGCTGACATTCAGCTGGTTGAACTTCTCTACTCTGTCGAAGAGCTTGACCCCGGCATTCTGGCCAACTTCCCTCTGCTGAAGGTGATCTCTTTCACAGCCCTCAGGACGGAAGGCCCTCATTTCCCACTTTGGAATCTAATATTTGGACTCTTGGGTCTCCATTATTATCAAGGCCTTTGCTGCCCTCAGGTCTTCAAATTAGCTCCTGGGCCATGGCCTGAGGCATGAAAAGAATCTTGTTATGCTGAGGAGATCTGAGTGGATGCTGCCCCAAGAAGAAGAATTTGTCTTTTAAAGGAGAGGGACCCAGGGTCAGCCTCTCTCTCCCAGGCCCCTGGTCCATGACAGTTTCTGTCCTCTTTTCTCTGCGATTCCCTTGACCCAGGTGTGTCCTTCTCTTTCCACACCTGAGTCTGTGAGCAGGTCTCCTCCCCTCGGCTCCTGCTCCTACTTTCAGACATTGTGTTTCTCTCTGCACAGTCTCCCCTCTCTCCCTGTCTCTCTCTCTCCATGGGTAAATTGGCTTTGACCGGCCTCATGTCAAAAGGCCCCTTTTATATTCTCTGTCTTCAGTTCCTGCCCAATTTTCCTATATCTTTTCTTTTCCTGATTGGAGACTGTATCTGTGATGGTATCTGACAGAAACATCCTCTTCCTTGCATTGCACAAGAGCCATGAATCCACAGGATGAGTGTGTAGGGAAGAAGAGAGGGAAGAAAGTGCTATTGAGCTGGATTTTCTTCCTCTTTTCCTCATTTCTCACCGGATGTCTATTCTCCAGCCTCACACTGGTGCTGATGGATGATACTCAGTGGGTCCTCATCTAGGGGGGTCTCAGATTCCCTGGCTTGTGCTAATGACAAGTTGGTCTTTGGCTCCACTCTGAGGCTGTGCTCTTGTGCATTGTAGGCCCTGAAAACCAGGATCAGCAACATCCCTACTGTTAAGAAGTTTCTGCAACCTGGCAGTCCGAGGAAGCCTCCAATGGATGAGAAATGTCTTTTAAAAGTAAAGGAGATTTTCCAGTTATAATAAAGCAAGCATGGCTGCCCAGCATATGCAGGACCTATCTTCTGAAGTTTTCCAAAAATGAAGTGGTTGACCTAAATGTAGATCCTGTCTATTGTGAGACTAATAAACTATTCCAAGGTTTTAGTGTTGATTAAATAATACAACTCCTATGAGCAGATTTCATTACAATTTATTCCTTTTCATTAGGATCAAATATGAAATCAGATTTTCAGTCTCCTTCTATCCTGTCTCTTGCTTGGAATTAAAAATGAAATAAAAATGGGAAATACAGACTTTGTGTCTTCTTGATCTTTTCCAGACATTGTCATATAACATCTGTCACATAGCCAACAAACAGTCATGTGCAGAAATTCATACCTGACACTCTCAGGTATTCACAGGCAAATACCTACCTTTCTCAGTAATGGCTAAAAAAATTTTATTTTTTCTTTGAGAAACATTTTCCTTCTGATAATAAAAACTTTTTTTTTTAATGCGTGTCTGAACAGCTATTATGTCTCCTATGGACTCTTTAGTGTTCTAGGTGGTGGGGAAGGAATGAAGAACAAAACAGGGCCGAGGTCTGCTCTCAGGGGACCCTCTGTCCCTTCCAGTCCACGAGCACCCTGGCACATCATCGCTCTGTTGCTTAGTGCTCTGTGGGGCCTGGTAAGAGCCTTCCTCTCAGGTCACTTAGTGTCCCTCAGGCCCAGGCTTCCAAGATACAGACTATATGCATGAATTATGTATAAATGAATATACATAAAATCATTGTTCTGGGCCAGAGTGCCCAATGAAGAGTGATTTCTAGCTTTAGCCACACCCAGGGCCAATGATGAATACTCTCTCAGAAAAGGTGGGCTTTGGCACATGGAGTTCTCCTCCCCTTAGTGTGAGGGTCCCCACAGTGGGGGGTGGGGCAGGGGGCACACAGACACAGGGCTCCCTGACTGAGGCCTCACTTCACTCTAGTCTGTTCTTTACTCACAGCCAGAGTTGATTTTCTCAAGTGCAAATCTGAGTCTCTCCACCTTCTTGATCTCTTTCAGTGACTCCTATACCTGCAGGGAGGCCTCCTCACATCCTTCCTCACACCCGCCTCCAGCCCAATCACACTCCTGGGTGAGGCCTTCCTGCCTGGGCACAGTTGCTAGCCCTGCCTGGCCACACTCCACACTCGCTGCTTCCCAGGGGCTCCCACAGAGCCCCATGAGCATCTCAGAAAGCTGAAGGTCGCTGTGCCTCCCCCACTGTCCTGTGAGCGCCTGGTGTGGGGATATGGCCCTGCGGTGTCCCCAGGGCTCCCTCACCAATGGTGATAACATGGCGCACAACTCCACACACAACTCGGGGACCTAAGGGCTCTAGTCTGGGCTTTCAGAATTCCTCACCATTTCCCCCACGCTCCCACCTACCGGACATCTGTAGTCACTCACCCATGTCTTCAGAATATTTATTTCCATTAGTCAAATGCAGTGTGTGGAACTTGCTTGGATCCTGATGCAAAAAAACCAACTGTTAAGAAATCTTCAGGAGACATTGGAGGAAATTAGAATGTGGAATATTTACTGAAATGAAGGAATTATAAAACTTTAGTGTGCTAGGACTGTAGTCTGATTATGTTTAGAAAAAGACTCCTTACCTTTCAGAGATTAACATATTAACTTTTTGATAGATTTAGTGACATGCTGTCTAGGATTTGTTTCAAAATAATCCCTTGGTAGTGGGGACAGTAGGTGGGTCTATATTGGTTTTTTGTGGTTTCTACAAAATTACTACAAACTGGGTGGCGTAAAATAGCAGAATGTATTCTATCACACTTTTGGAGGCTAGAAGCCCAAAGTGGAGGTGTGTCAGCTGGGCTGCCTTCCTCCGGGGGCTCTATGGGAGAATCCTTCCTGCCTCGTCCAGCTTCTGGTGGCTTTTTGCATTCTTTGCTTCCTTGGCTCATGGCCACGTCACTTCAACTTCTGACTCTGTCTTCACCTCCCCTCACCCTCTGTGTGTGTCTGTGTCTTCTCTTCTGTTATAAGGGTATACGCTCTTGGATTTAGGGCCCATCAGCATAATGCAGAGCCATCTCATCTCAATGTCCTTAACTCAATTATATCTGCAAAGACCCTTTTTCCAAAGGGTCACAGCACAGGTTCCAGGTATTTGGACACGGGCCTATCTTTTTAGGAGGTCATCTATACCCCCTACGGGGTATAGATGAAGAAAGACAGTTGTCAGTTGTTGAAGCAGGGGAATGGGTTCATTGGTGGGTACAATACACGTTTAGGACATACTTAAACTAAAAATTATTTGCTATTCAGCTGAAATTCATATTTGATGGGTTGTCCCGTGTTTTATCTGCTATCCAATACAAAAAGTATTCCAGAGACCTGCTTGCGGTATACTGACGTCAGCTCCCTGCTATGCTCATGGCAGAGGTTTCTCATCTGCTGCCATCCTTGCATCCAATTCATGAAAATCTCACAGTAAGTTTCTTCAAAAAGCCATACCCCACTGACTGGAGGAGAAAGTCCAAACAACCTGAAACTTTTTGTTTAACCATTCAATTGCCAACCTTCAAAAGAACAATTAACCAATTTTTTTGTGATAAGAGGATGACTTGTCATTTTTCTTCCCATCTAGCATGGAACCCTTGGCCCCTGAACTCTGTAGGAGTGGCTTTTCCTTAACTGATCTCTACCTGTGTCACAGGGAGGAGTTATTCCATTACAAAAACAGCTTATGAACACCTGAGGGGTTGACATTGAGTTGCTGAGCATGTGGGAGACAGACTTTAATAAGATCAGTACTGATTTTATAAATCTTCATACATTGCCTCACATCCTCCCCTCTATGTCACCAGAAAAATACTTTAAAATGTGTCCTCAGTGCAAGAAAAATCTGTTTTAGACTCACATCGTGCCTTCTTGCTGTGCTTAGGGGTCAGTTCAAGAGTTGTTTATTCAATTGCTGTTGGAAACATCTTTACAAAAATGTGAAAATGAAGGATTTAGAAAACTAGGGCACAAGAATTTAGATGCAAGAAAAATTAATGATAGGAGGAGGAAAAAGAATGATACAATTTTAGACAATCCGAGAATATTACCAGTATAGGAGGGAGTGTGAGTGTTTATGCTGAGGTTACTTTTTCCATAGAAGTAGTTGATGCACATCAGTTGTGAACAGTGATACTGTAATAGTCTCTGTGAAAATTCCAAATTCACTGGTTATACTAGGAATAAATTAGTCTGAAGTTCAGCAGAACTCGATTCTAGTTCGGCCTTTGCTGGATTAGCTCACTGGCAAGTCTCCTTCTCTCTCTGTGGTTCAACCAACTCAGGGCAACCAGACATCGGCTGAAGCAGGTTTCCCAGTCTGGCCCTGTTGACACTGTGGCTGGGCGATGCTTTGTTGTGGGGCTGTCCTGTCTGTTCTCCTTTCCTTTTTCTTTTTAGTTAAAAAGTATTTATTATAGAAATGTACATTTAATTAGTTTTAAGGAGTGTACTTAAGAATAGTGTTAACATATATTTTCCTCAAATTTGCAAACGTTACAACCTTAAGATATCTACAATGATAGTTTGTTTACATGCTTACAAGAAATCATCATTTCATCAATACTTGACTCTCACTTTTTCTTCTCATTTTACTCTGTAGCTGTAGAAAAAACACAGTGTGGGGGTCAAGTTCATCCTAGTGCTAGTGGCAGCCGCATAGTTGAATGAGAGATGCAAAAGGATAGAGAAGAATTATTCCATGTTTCAGAAATGTATTTTTCAAAAAAAATTATCCTATGAAGATGACACAGATAAAATAGCCAACTGCACTCAAATATAAGGTATTTCCAACTAAATATCCAATCAATGTGTCTGTTAGGACAACACAGTGGATGAAAAATGGAGGGTGGATGAAATGCAGAATGACTGAGGGTGGATAAGAAGGAGTCAGATGCACATGGAGGCATCGCCCCACTCCATGTCAGAGGCATCTCTGCTAGCTACCCACTGGGTGTAGCACCCTCCCTCTTGATTTTGACAACCAAAAATATCTCCAGAGATTGCCAAGTGTCCTCTGGGACAAGAGTGGCAATATCACCCCCTGTTAAGAGTTCCTGGGTGACATGACTTCTCAAATTCTCCAACTCAGGAAGTCTCAACGGGAAAACTAGAGAATCACAGGAGCACAGAATGAGATTTTACAAAGCACAGGAATTCGCCTAGCTAGAACGGACAAGTCATTCACATCAGAATGTAAGAGTCAACCATGCTCTGTTACAGTATTAATATTGGGGGAAAAAAGGAAAAGTCTCATACAGGAGAGATGGAGAGCCGCAGGGAGATCATGTGAAAACCCTGGAGCAGTCGGAACATAACAGAATTCATGGGAAAACTCTGGTACCTATGGGAGAAGACATGGAAATGGCAATGAGGAAAAGCACTAGGCAGGATGCTACCGAGAGCAAGGTTTGTCAGGGCTGAGGCGGGGTCCTCATTTGAAGGGGAGGAAGGCAGCCACGTGGGGTAGAGAGGCACGGAGCTTGGGAACTGGGTGCTGCCCGGGAGGCAGGAGCGCCCTGGGCCGCGGAGCAGCGCCCTCAGCTTCCTCAACCTGGCAGCTCCTCACCTCGCTCTGACTTGCTTGGCTGAGAGAATCGTGATTCTTGAGTTGGAACCACTCAAAGTGAAGTCCCTGCTGGGCCCTTCATGCTCTGTCTGTTGTCCACAAACCTGTTTTTCTGACTAGACTTAAAGCCCTGTAGGTCAGGGACCATATCAGGCTCGGATCCTGTTCCCGACCAGCCATCATTTCTTAGCACTGGAAACTGCTCCAGGAGTGTTAGGAAGAAGTTTCAAGGAAAGTTTTTAGAAGGAAATATACCTCCATGTAAACCAGAAAGGGGTGTGAGAGAAGGATCAGTGTATGTGTGTGTTTCCAGGTAAGCAGGAGGATGCTGGAGAGACATGATCATTTTCATTGAGTGTTGACAGTGAGACCCTCAAGAAGGCTGTGAAGAGCTGGAGAGAGAAGCCGTGGATCTCCTGTTCCAATGGCTGGACCCCTGCAAAGGCAGCCTGGGCACAGGAAGGAGGCCAGAGTGCCCAGTTCAGGGAGGGAGTGGCAGCACAGTGAGCCTGAGGAGAAAGGCACCTGGGGTGCAGCGTCAGGGACCAAACTGGGGATCTGCTGCAGGGTTGGGTACACTAGGCTGCTTTTAATATTGTGCCAAACCTCCCTGAACTTTCCCCAAAGACTTCCTGCAATCCAGGTTAAGTAATCAGTGAACGTCACTAATCTTACCATATGAGCTAAA